AGAGAGAGAGAGAGAGAGAGAGAGAGAGAGAGAGAGAGAGAGAGAGAGAGAGAGAGAGAGAGAGAGAGAGAGAGAGAGAGAGAGGAAAGGTTGTAGGTTGTTACAACCGACTTGCTGGGATGTTTGCAATGGGTCACTTTTTATTGTGGACGGCTGCATTACCAACAATCTTCCCTTGTAAGTTTGGCTTTCCATCCTTATGCTTCTTCACCACAATCTGGAGGATAGCATGTGATCGAGACGACTCCTCGTTGGCACCAGTGGAACCTGTACTGAGAACAATCCAACAGGTTTAGTCAGGAAGGGCTCAAACCACCAAACATTATTGACAGTCGTACGGTCACAAAGATGAACTTGAAACAACCCTGCATTTCTGCTCCCTTCAGCAAACCTGCATCTTTTTTAACGGGATAGTTAAGAAATCAAATACCGAAATATATTGGCCCATATCTCATTTTGCAGTTTGTCCCTCAGTCATATAGCAATCTCAGCTCTTGGTGGGGTTGTGGATCTCTTGCTGGTATTTGTTTGACAATCCAGATAATTACAGACATTTTTTTAGCAATACATTATACGTCTCATTGTTCTAGACGAGGCAAATGCTTCTTGCTTTCAGATATCCCCCGATGACTGTACAGGAAAATAATGTTATCCTAAAGATGTGCTTGTCACATGCAGTGCAATACAGCACAGGCCACACACTGCACCCGCAATGCTATGCAGCAAGCCACACGGTGCAACACTATATATCGTAGTACGTGATCAAAACAGTCAACTGGCACACCCTGCAGCAAGCCAGCTTATGCACAACCTTACATATAGTGGCTTGAGGTTCCACGCTTCTGGGTGCACTAATGAATTGTCGGAGGTTCCTTGTCACGCCTGCATTTCGCATAGATAATAGAGTCCAGACTCATAGGCCACAGTGGTACTAATGGCAGAGGTGGCAAGGTGTCAGAAAAGAAGCAGGGAGGTCATGGTTGGTGGTGCTGTACAGGCATAGACGATCTTATTTTTAGTTTTCTATTTTTTTTGACCCAGGCGTGTGTTGCTACAGAGGGTGGTGTGAGCGTCGCCCTCTAGCAGACCCACTGCTGCATCCTCCAGTCTATTGGTGGGGGGCAGCACCTGCTGAAAACCGGGTCCAACATCCCATGTACAAACATTTAAGCATCTACCCTGGGGCCATTACCCGGTTTTGGCTACGAAAAACAGCTCATGTGACGAACAGAAGATGCGGCAAGTACACAGCCTCCTCCGCTTCATGAGGCCCCCAGCTGGACAAAATCATCCCTGGCTGTATCTTGTCCTCCCTGACTCCATAAGCCAATGGTTCTTAGCCGCTGCCACCATAACACTGTAGATCCACCAGTGAAAGTGGTGGGGTGGGACGAGGTCCAGGAACTCCGAACGGGATTGCAGTGGGGCTGCTGGGCTGATCTTGGTCCAGTCCTTGAATACCACGCTGTAGTCTCTCCTGAATGCCTGTTCCTCTGGTTGGTCCCCTTCCCCCCAGTGGATGCCGGCAATCGAGCCCCTCTGATCAACCCCCAACCATTCTTTTGACAATCGTTAAATTGTTTGTTAAACATCCTTCTTTGTATGGAAAAGAGGTCCAGCTGTGTCTTCACTTTCGACCATTGCTCTGTCAGATCCAGCAGGAGTTGTTGTTCTATCATTTCTGCGAATTCCTCACCTTCCACCCGCACGTCCTCCATTACATGTATTTAACACTTTTTGCCTAACGGCCCAGAGGACCGCTCTCCTCCCTAGCTTGAACAGATTTTCCTCAAAGGTGCTATCTTGTGGGGATCTCCATGCCCCAAGCAAGAGTGCTCTCCCATAGCCAGGAGGAGCCAGTTCCCAGCTGATGCCATCTGAGGATTAAGTTCATGCTGTCGGTTAACCAGTCATTGCTGGACAGGCGGCGGTGCTCCATCTGCCACTGCAGGGAGGCCAGTTTAGCTGGTCCGGTCTTAGTTGCTGTGAACCAACAGATGGGTCGGATCACACCCCTCCCGACAATCAGATAACTCATCCATCGGTCCCTAACAATGTCCTTAAGATTTACTTTTGGATGCAGCATTCTATAGGCCGTCTTATCCTCCAAGTTGGGTAATCGTATGTTCTTCTCATTTCTCCTTTTCTATGAAGACGGCCACTGCCATTCTTTCGGATCAAAGGGCAGATCCAAAAACGGGGTCTCTGGGAGGAAGGCTTCCCAGGCTTCTTTTTCCTGCAGCACCTTTATCCTAAAAAGCTGTGACTCTTCGTATGATTCCATGTCATCCAGAGAGAATCTGGCAAAAACACGTTTTCATTGCCTTTATGGAACAGATTTGTCAGGACTGCATCCTCTCACACTTCCAACACACTCCCCAATTGCCAGATTCCTCCTGACCGCCTCCCTGTCTTCTTCTCTTGCAGATATAGTATGGTCCAGTCGCGGCCCTCCCTCTAGGCAAGTCAGAGGGTCAAGTTCTGGCGAGGCCCGAGCCGTGCAATCGGTTCTAGTGCCAGAGCCCGCCAGGGGATATGGGAGGTGAGCAGCAAGCGTTTCATCCGTTGCACGGTAAGGGTAGTGACTTGGACTGCCAGCTCTAGTATTCATAGACCTCCTTAGTCTTTTGGTTGTATGATTGAGTTCGAAGCCACTCTGTTGATCGCATTTTGGCAAGGCTGTTTCCCCTCCATAGTAGTTCGGGCACCTGCCGTTTTAGTGCTTTCATCGCCTCTTTACAAAGAGCCCATACTGCGGACTTGTACCACAGGGAGGCAAGCACACCATTATTACTTACTAGTGCTCTCCAGATAAAGGAAGTGTATTTGTCCTTCCAGAATGCCACTTTTTCAAGTGACGGCCTGAGGATCCAGTCATCATTGGACTTAGGTCTCCCAAAGGCTGTTAACATGATGCCCAACACTCTGACTGGGGCCAACTCAGGGAGCCATCTAACTCGTGGTAGTCAATGTGGGCGGACCCCTTGGTAGTGGATCCACCACCAGAGCATATCCAAGAGGGCAATCAAACTTTCCATCAGTTTCATTATATTTCTTCCATATTTTTAGGGGAGGCCTCCACCATAGATGTGGGATCATCTCATCGCTTGCTGCCACATTTACCTCGTCATCTCTCTTTGACAAGAGAGCGAGAGAGTACAGGTGGTGGAGAAGCAAGTACTGTTCAAGTGTGACGCTTACTTGATGATAGAGGAGAAGTTCCTACATACGGGTAAGGATGGCAAGTGCCCAGGGCTGTCATGGAGCATTATGGATGCTATTCAAGCCCAAGGCCGTCGCAGGATGTTCCCTTGTATTATGGTTCACAAGGCGTTGCACTCCTTTGTGGAGGCAGTGAGATCAGGGACAGGTGTTGCAGTACCCCCCACCACTCATGGAGAGCGAGATTGGAGAACAATTTCGGAGTCCAAACCACACCGAGAGTTGGGGAAGTGTCAAGGAAGCATCATGTGATGCTTCCTACATCCATCAAGAAGGGGAGTGTCAATGTCGCATACCGTAACGGTGCAGACCAGAACAAGAACCAACCTCTCTCACATAGTACAGGAGAGCGCAGCGGAAGGCTAAAATACCAATGATTCGACCAATCAATGTCGCAATGCAGACCAAACATACATCATCATCATCGCAAGGTGTGAAAGGGCCTGGCGCTACACACAGGAAGAATGCGCCCGGCTCAGATACACAGATGAAGAGGAGGGACGAAGAAGAGGGGGAAGATGGGAATGTCGTGACACAAATGTCATTGATATCGATCCCAAATAGTCCCCCGCCAATGCCTCCGTCCCAAAGTCGAGTCTGTATCCAAATGCCGTCAACATCCCAAAGTCACAAATCTCTCTCTCTCTCTCTATCTCTCGTAGTAGTAGTAGTAGTATACTGAGAAGTCAGGTAGCTGGAGGGGGAGGGAGAGATGGTGGACTGGAGGAAGAAGAAGAACTCTCTCTCTCTCTTACTCGGTGCCAGGTACTAATGAAACGGTATTCACCAATTCGTGGTAGCTGAGGCAGATCCCAGGGCTTGATCCCTAGTTCCCCAACTTACCTGTGTATAATATCTACGTCAACTCGAAGAGTTGAACCTGCGACCTGTAGAACCGCCAGTGGTAGGTAGATTGTCGTAGGGCACAGGATAGACTGGAATCGAACTGTAGACCTGTAGGGTAGAAGTCTAGACAGTTCCGGAGTTGT